GTAGCGACCCTCTGTTTTTTTTACGAGGCCCAACTCCTAAAAAAAAAAAAAAAAAAAAAAAAAGAAAGAAAGAAAAAAAGAAAAAAAGAAAAGAAAGAAAGCTACGGGGGCCGCTACACAGGCTAGTCCTCTATGATAAATCTGAATCCAGAACATTGTTCTCAGCATTTTCTTTTTTAATAATGTTACTTTTTAAAAATTGTAAGATCAGATTTGCAAGCATACTTAATTCCAGTCTACACCATCATCCTGATACAGTCRCGTGACATTTGGCCTGTATACGACTTATTTGTGGGTTTTTCTTGGTGTAGCAAGCTTTTTTGTATTAGGGTTTTTGTATAAGCCTTTTCACAGCTTAAGAATCGATTCCACTGCGCATGCGATTTTATCCCGAATTTCTACCTTCTTTTGTCTAAACCTTCTTTTGTTCTTAATTAAACAAAAGAAGGTGAGAAATTCGGGATAAAATCGCATGCGCAGTGGAATCGATTCTTAAACTGTGAAAAGGCTTATTGCAGGGTATTCATCGGTTTGCACGTAACGTCATAGCCGTCATCTTGGTCGAATTTAACAAAGGAATTGTCAATCATAATATTTTGACAAAACTCCAAAAATACCTAATTAGTGTTTGAAAACAAATGCGCAAAATGGATGCGCAGTAGCAAAGGTCCGGAACTACCTTAAGTTACATGGTTCTTTCACAGATACAAAGTTGCTCTTTTTGTTTACATTATTTCAATGGGAATTTAGCTTATTAGGTTTTGCGGAGCGAGGAAAACCTGACAACCAGGAGTTTAAACTCGTTGAAAAAACCCAAACGATTCAAGGAATAGAGCTAACCACCTCTAGTTTAAAACTTTAGAGCCAAGGTCCTATAAAACCAGGAGTCTATTTCTATATTTAGAACTAAGCGTTGATTTTGAAAGAGTGCAGTCAGTTATTATGAAGTATTTAGGTCAAAAGAGCACGCTTAATTAATACCCTGGGGTGTCCAGCCTAAAAAKGTTTAATATTTTGGGTTTAACGACATAAAAAATGTATGCAACTCCTTAAGGAATAGCTATATTAAAAACGTTTGGTTTCGGATTAGCGGTCAGCCCTTGGCATTATTATAATCCATCTAATATCAATCGAGCCTTAATATATACAACATAAAAAAGAACTTGGTTAAGAAACGAAAAATCGAGTTATTTGGTGAAGCGTAAGGAATATCGTATGTCTATCAAGGAATTTTTTGCGTAATGAAGAAAATGCTTGCGTGTATTAGATTCTGCTCGAGATAAGATTGAAATATGGCTTAGTACTTTATTGTCCTCTTACGCAAATCGGCAATTAAAACCCATATACTGGATTTGACCAAGTATACTTAGCGATTTATAATTGGTAGCTAAGAACTGGTTTGCCCTCCCGTAAACAGGCAAATCAGATTCATATCATTTTGCTGTCCTTTGCTAACTTTAAATAAAAATATTTTTTGCGAAACACGCGCGCAGCCTTATTATTCTAAAATGAAAAGCTCAAAGTTCATCTATATATATCATGCATCAAAGTTTTATTTGCAATTGATGTGTTGTCGTTCATGGTCGTGCCCTCTAGATGAGTTTCTTATTGGAGCCATCGATTTAAAATTTTTTTCTTTTATTTGCGCGCATGTGAGAGTCAGATCGGTTTTCAATTTACAGTTCTCGTTTTCCTATATGAATATACTTTGATGGTTTTAACTTCTGTCGCACTGTAAATGCTCTCAAGCCACCAAGTCTATATACGCGATCATGATGAAGTTATTATCGAATGACGGTGTACCTGCGGTTGATGGTCAATGACAGTCTTTACCACAGAAGCAACGCATTATATAAGGATCTTTCTCGTTTCGTTGCTAGCAATTAGCAATGGAGTCATCTGGAACTACGGTGTCGATGAACGACAAGATTAATGATTCTAATGGTTCTCCATTGGTTGTTAATGGAAGAAATAATGTCCGTGTTCGGTCGCGAAGGTATGATCTCCGCAAGGAAGCGACGTACATTCTACTTCTGTTCTTATTGCTTTTCATTGCTTTGTTTGTGATTATGACAACACTGTATGTCATCGAGAAGCGAAAACACCTCGAGGAGGCGAATACGAATACGAATACGAAGCAGCCTGAAGTACTACTTCCAACGACTTCGTCTCCAAAAGTTTGCACTTCTGTCGATTGTGTGTTGACAATTACAGGTCAGTTGAATTACGGGTCAGCGTTTTTATTATTTTTTGATGCTTTATTTTGCTTTATGTTGCGAATATGGCTTTCATTGCTGGCTGATGTTTTCAGAAAGATCATTTTTTATGCAGCCATTTCCATTGCTTCACAATGACAAAATAAAAATATTCTTTTTGCATGATTGCATAAATGCATTTCTGTTTATTGCACATTGATCGTAAAACCATTAGCTGCAGATTAAGGGAAGATAATTTTTATCCATTATGTATGTAACTTTATGTATATATATAATTCCATGAGTTTGGAAGAGTTTAAGTTTGATTGGTAACAAACGTTACAAACTTTTATTCATTATATGCAAAGCTCTTAGGCCTTTGTTATGGCTTCATAGCTTAATTACATTTAACCTCAAAGTAAAACAATCTCATCAAATTTCGAATAATAATTAATATTACTTAGAATGATTTGGTGTTGCAGAACTGAAGTTTTAGTAAAAGTTTAACAATGTATTTTTAGTATAATTTTTGACTTGAATACAGAGTTTCTCGAGCTGAGATTGGTCGAGCGACCTGTGATTCTGAGACGATAATTGCTGAAGCGGTGATGAAGTTTTCCAAAGTTTGCCAGACCGGAAGTAATACTAAGACGTTTTATTTATTCTGAATTTTGACTTTTCTCTGATATTTAAGTTTAAGATTATACTAAAACAATTATTCCCCTCAGGCTCAGTGATTATGGTGATATTTATACCGAGCCGCTCGGCGAATAATTGTTAAATATTCTTAGTGAGAGAGAGAATGGAAGAGAAATGAGGAGAATGAATTCGACAAAAGAGAAAGAAAGAAAGAGAGGGAGCGAAAGGAAGAAGGAACGAACGAAGAAAGAAAAAAAGGAAGGAAGGAAGGAAGGAAGAAAGAAAAGAAAAGAAGAAGGAAGGAAAGGAAGGAAGGAAGGAAGGAAGGAAAAGTAAAAGGAAGAATAAAGGAATGAAGGAATGAAGGAATAAAGGAATGAAAGAAAGAAGAAATGAAGGAAATAAATAAATAAAATGATTAAAAAAAAAAAGAAAAAAAAGAAAGGAAGGAACTCTTATACAAAAATACTGTAGCGAATACGAGAAAGAATGATTAGAAAAAACCTCTACCTTCCTGCAAAATTTCAGTAAAAAAATTGTTATTAGGAGCCACGCGCCACTGGCCATGATTGATAGCCACCACTGACAAACACATCAAATCTGACCACTTCAGGCATCACTATTACCAATCCCAATAAAATGTAATAAGCACCTTGATCATATCAACTTTACAAGGGGAAAATAATTCTGCTTTTATTTTGTAAATAAGACCAAAAATTTGACATGACTTAAATTTTTTCTTTTGTACTCAAAAACTGGTTAGATTCGGAATTAGTTTAGCAGATGGTGTAAATTAATATATATAACAACCGAGTTCTTTACCCAAGATATCAACCACGATTGTTTATAATGAATAAAAATGAGGATATAAACAGATGGTCAATTTTATATAAAGGATGATTTGAGGTTGTTTACTTTATTCAATGACGTTTTTGTCAACTTCGAGGTTAAACAGTCATACTTCAAGAATGCGCAAATTAAATTTGATAACCATTTATTTATTTTTTCCTTTTTATTTTCCCGCCATTTTAAATTTTTATCTATTTTCTCTATTTTTATATGAATTCGTTCGAACACTTTCCTAATAAATTTTCTTTATGTTTTCATTAAAGTTTTTCCAAAAATTAAGAGTGATAGATATTATRTTCTATGCTGTACATAATCTTCCGTTTTTCGAGTTCCGTTTCTTAAACTGTGAATAATTCTCTTTTGTTTAGTCGATGCTTGACAAGAGAATTGGCTCTAATCACCTAATTTACTATCTAGTAACGACCAAGCTATAATAAACGACCCAACGCAAAACTACTAATATTTTTTTATTAAAATTTATATAAGACATATTTCTATTACCTAAAAGATCAAACCTTCAAGGGGGGGTTCCGTGGAACCCTTCGAACCCCCTCTGGATCCGCCACTGATTACTTAGCGATGGATTTTCAACTCAGGTTTGCACACACGCKCGCGCTTTGAGGATCTCGAATTTTCGATCATAGGAATAAAGGGTGCATTATTTCTTTGCCAAGATCCTTTCAGTAAACTTTGCAGATTTCTTTCGTGGGGTCTTTTTTGCGATGGATTTTATAGTTAGATTTGCACGTATGTCTCGAGAAAAGATATTCCGTAAAAACGATCTCGAATTTTTGATCATTAACAAAGCGTTTAATTTCTTTGCAATAGTTCTTCTTATACTCCACGTATTTCTTTCTTGGGGTATTTTTTGCGATGGATTTTAAAGYCAGGGTTCGAAGCACGCGCCTTGAAAATAGATAATGCGCAAAAGATATCAAATTCATCGAAAAATATATCGTATTAAAAAAAACATGGTATCATTTTTTATGTCGTGATTCTATTAAAGCCTCACAGATTTCTTTATGTGGGTCTTTTCTCACATCCACAGGATCTGCACTTAGGCATTTCTTTGAACTTCTCCGACAGCGTCTAAAACTTTGAGTGTAGCCTCGTCTATTACATGAGGGAGGATTTTGTATTAATGGCAGACTTGGAACCACCGCATGCAACGATGATGAATCTATGTTTTTGTTTATATTATATTYGTTTACGAACAAGACGCACGGAATTTCTGTTGCTACGAGGTAAAGCAGTCATAAAGAACATAAGAAATTTCGGACGGCATACAAGAAAAAGTACTTCTTGAACATCTTTGGACATGTGTTGCAAAACAAAACATCATTATTATATTTTTCATTTATTTTTTGAAACAGTTTTCTATAATTAAGAACTCACTGGACAGAAGTGCCAGGACATGACGTGCCGTGGCCGTGATAGTAACGTGTGGTCATGACGGTAACGTGGTCGTGACGGTATTTTGGATTAAGGACTAACTATGTCACGCAACGTGTTCCAGATTAAATTTTGTATGATTGTGACGGACGTACATCCAACCTTGTTATTGGTTTATAAGGTTTCTTATTTCCGTACAAAGTTGCATAGTTTYACATCAATAAAATTCATATCTTATTCCAATTTCTATTCTGAAACAAACGTTGTTTCATATGCTTTCAGTTTGAGTCCATTGAGCTGCGCCACTGCTGTATTCACCATTTTCCATACATCGGTTCACTGGTCAATCACAAAGCATTCAGTCGAGGTTGCAAGGTTCAAATTTGAATAATCCTTTGAAAGTACCTTGGCACCTCTCTTGAGCGCTTTGTGTTTGACCAGTGAACCAATGTATGGAAAATTGTGAATTTGCGGTGTTGATTAGCRATAACAAGTTTTTATAACACGTTTTTCAATTGTTATCTTAGAATTGATGAAGTCTATCAATCCAAGAAAGGATCCTTGCGAGAACTTCTATGAGTACGCCTGTGATGGTTGGATCAAGAATAACCCAGTACCAAATGGTTTAATGTCGTGGGACCAATGGTCCCTTATTGAATCTCAAGTTGAAGATTTCCTGAAGAAAGCCTTGGTTGACGATAGTTTAAGACAATTATATGAAAATGTAAGGCAATCTTCATCTACGTACGTTATTAATAAAGCAGTTTGGCATTCCATACATAACGCTGTTTTTAAGACCAAAGACTCATTTGTCAGGCTTATCACCGTTTGTAAKTCAGCTATTCATAGATACTATTAGAAGCCCTTGAGATTGTTAACTTTAAATGAYCGTTATTTTGGTATGAATGACAAATATACGCGCATGCTGTGTGCTTTCATCATACAGCACGTGCTACTCGGCAATATGGCCAAGTCTTCCAACAACAACTTCGTTATGACGTCTTGCAAAATGTTGAARGTTTTATGACGGAAAGCGCCTGACGTCGAACTGCAGTTTGAGACCTGCGGGGCTAGCAAGAACGTGGTGCTAAATGTCGCTATTATCTCAGATCAGCTGGCTGATATTCAATGTTTTTATCTCTTAGGTGTCAGCAGTTGCTAAAACGTACGAATTCTACGAATCATGTGTCAATCTTCAAGAAAAAGCTRCCACCAAAGGAGGGCCAGTAACACAGTTGATCAATAAGTACGTCCCTTGGCCTGTCGTGGATTCAAACTGGAGCGACGTAAAATACAGTTTCGATCATGTGATGGCAAGGATTACCAGGGAGTTAAATATTAACCCCTTTTTGCAGCTTGTGGTTCAAAGTGATCTTAAGAACAGTAGTTTGAACATTATTACGGTGAGTGGAGACTCAGAGAACTCTTTAACTTAAGAGTTTGGCCATTTCAGACTGCGTGTCATTTTCCTGTGGCATCACTCCTTTGTTTGGGGGCAATCGAAACAAAGGATCCTATTCTTAAAGGAAAGACACGTGATCTGAAATGGGCTAACCGTTATTACGCCCAAGGTAAAGATGTCTATAGAGGCTGTGCACCATCACATGAAGGTAGCCATGACAGGGGACATAACAATAGAATCTTTTCTCMCCTGGGAAACTGAATACTTTCTAATGTAAATTCCAGATCCAACAAACGTTCGAGTTTGGACTTTTCCACAATCAGCTCATCAAAAATTTCAGTGGCGCATTACAGGTAAACCAGTAGTTGCTTTGCACTTTATACACTAGAAGTTTAACCGTATATAGTTTATGCTAACTTTGCCATTCGATTTCTCTTTCTTCTTATCTTAGGCTAGGGCCGCGTATAAAGAAGTGATTTACAACATGTCCTTGCTACTTGGTGCCACAGACAAGACTCAAGCATGGAAAGACGCTGGGGATATTATGGGAGTGGAGCAATTATTAGCAAGGGTGAGTATGTATGCCTGTATTTCTTATGTATTCTCTTTGGGGAATCAAGRAAGGCGTAGGGGTAATTATCTTTCATCTCACCGCTGGTGTCTAGCTCGATTCCTGTATATTTATGTGAGCAGAGTCTCTTCCTTGATATGGGGTTTTCTCCGGGTTTGTTGGTTTTCCTTCTTTAGCAAAACCTAGCATGCTAAATTCAAATTCAGCGAGCCAAGTTGCMCTGACAAAGAACAGCCCATAGCTTCTATTGTTTCAGGGCTAGAAAACTCCTCAAGCCCACGGTGTAACAGCTGTACGTTTTAAAGCAAAAACAACCCAAATTAACTAAGAAAAGCTCATCTCAATAGCCTAAGAACAACACGCCCTTGGCAGCAAAAAAAAAAAACGAAACATGTTGCGCACATGTTGAGAAGATCTCGATCCAACTTTCCATGCAATGTTGCACAATAAATTTAGAGGTCGGTTCACTATACAACGTATTGTTTGGTTGGGTGGCACGTTTTTGATTGTTGGTATTTGTTTTTAAATTTTCAGACTGGTAAAGGTTATGTAGATTTTGATGAGGAATTGTATTATGGAAAGTTCAAATTGAGTGACTTTATGAAACGTGCTGGGAATAAACCGGTAAGTAGTCTTCTCCCCCTTCCTACTTCCTTCACTCCTTCCCTCAGCTCCCTTCCTTCCATCTATCTTGCCTCCTTGCCTCCTTGCCTCCTTGCCTCCTTGCCTCCTTGCCTCCTTGCCTCATTCCTTTCCTGCCTGGTCCATTTTTCCCCCAGTTCTTCCTATCTCTCTATCTCTCTATCTCTCTTCCTCTCCCCTTTTCAATACCGAATTTACCATATTCTATTACACTGCTTCCTTTCTCTACAGCTCAACTGGTTGGTATTCTTAAATGAGGTGTTTCGTGGAATTAAACGCATTAAACCTGAGGACGAGATTATCGTTACAGATTTACCAGTTGTTCTTAAAGTCTTAAAAGAGCTAGAAAAATTACCGGAAAGGTAYGTTTCGGCWCTGCCTCGTTTTTTCAACYTACTTCTCGGWGTTTGGAAATYCGGCGGATGAAATTTCGMTTTGTGGTACCTCGTCCATGCTTTAAGTACAACGGACCAAAAAGGTTCATGCCAGTGTAAGAGAATGGAGGCACGAAGGCARTACACTCTTTCGCGTGTTTGATATATTACGTAAAGCTAGATTGTACTTGCCAATAGAAAATAGTTTAATTAATTTTCTTTCTTTATCTGTTTGTTTCAGAACAATTTTGAATTACCTAGGATGGAAGATCCTGTTTAAGAATTTCTATTACGTTAGCAAAGAATTTGATGAGATCCACAAATTGTTTCGAAAGAAGGCGTGGGGAGTCGATTCATTTAATCTRGTTGAAGGATGTCGCAATAAAGTAAAAACACATTTTGGTATGGCGATATCGAGAGTTTATGTTGACAAGAAATTCCCTGGAAATAGTAAGCAATTGGTAAGTTTATATATTTTACAGATAACTTGATTTGTTGTTTTATCCTACGCTCAGATATTCATCCATCCATCCATCCATCCATCCATCCATCCATCCATCCATCCGTTTTTCCTTGGTTGATATTAATTGATTGGTTATTTTTTATGGGTATTTTTTTATTGGTTTTCTTCATTAATATCCCAGGCACAAGAAATAGCTTCATACATCAACAAAGTCTTCCAAGAGACACTGCAAAACAGCGAGTGGATGGATGAAAAATCAAAAAACGCTGGCATTGAAAAGGTTGTTTTATAATAATAACAACAATTTACTAATTTATATTGCGCAGATTACATAATATAATGAAAAAGTGAACATTACATTTATTTACTACTAATCAAAAAATAATAATACTAATCTAAAAATACTATCATAGCTAATACATAAATAAGACAATTATAGAAACGATAGAATATTTAAATAGTAAAATGTAGACTGATAAAAGTTAGAAATATTTAGCATTTATAAGCTAATTTAAAAAAGGTATTCCGATGACGTTTAAACAATTTTAATACTAGATGTAATTTACACTTGAAATGGAACCATGAACCATGAACACTTGATTCTTATCGCGGTTCCAACATTTTTTTATGCGATTCCAGAGTTGATTCCTTTGTTTCTACAGAGTGCTGTGATTGGATAGTTATGAAAAAATGTCAAAAAAAATTGAAGTGTTCATGGTTCGAGTGTCCGCACTAAAGGTGCGGTAATGCAAGCACCAACATCGTGGAACTTGTGGGGCAACATTGTGGCGCAGCAAGTTGCATTGCAAAGGTCACTCGTATTACCAATTCGCGCGCAAAAAAATAAAAAATAAGAAAAGGAAATTGAAAAGTGCAAAGTAGAAACTCTCTTCACWCTTTATAACATTTGCTCATTTGAAACAGTATTTGCGCAACAAGTTTCAAGAAATATCCCGCGTGTCTAGCGTGCAGAATGAACGTTTATCGATCATCTGAATCACAAATTTTCAATTTTCATGGTGGTCAGTGTTTGATCACTATTTAGAACAGATATAGAGTACTTTGAAAGACTTTTATCAACTGATTGTTTTTTTCTTTCGCGTGATAAAGTTTCTTGTATCATCTGTGATTTGCGCTATACACCGTTTTTTGATCTAACTCTCTYCTTACTATTTATATGTATCCAATGTTTTCCTTTAAGGTTAAAGCTGTAGGAGGCCATTATGGTTATCCAGATTATGTCACGAAYGACTTTGAACTTGGTGAAAAATTTAAGCAAGTAAGTTGACCTAAAAGTACGAAATGCACGTCATCAGAGAATTGGGAGATATATATACCTCCATTTTTTTGAAAAATTTAAATGAGAATTTCCGATGAATTTCAGAGTTTGTATTTTTGAACTTGTGCATTCTTTAAGCTTTACTGTTGGTATTTGTCAATATGTAGACACTGAGGATAYGAGGATAATCCTGCATGAATTAATGAATCTTTAATTAAGAAACACAGYGGTTTTTCAAGTTTTTTACGAATTCAAAAAGAACATGCGTCTGAAATAGTTGACGACTCTTMARACTCCAGTGTATGCAGGCTTAACCTTACTTCTGAGGTCTGTAAATAAAAGCAGAAATTAGAATATKAAAACAATCAACTCCTGGGTTCGAGGCTAAGCCCGCATACACTGGAGTTTGAAGAGTCGTCAATAATACAGACAGCCCCCTGCATTGGTTTGTCTATTCCTCTCGTGATCAGTATTCATCGTTCTTTACTTTCAGATAAATATTAGAAAAGATTCGCTGTTTGACTCAATGCTATCGATTGTGTCCAGCAAACGTTTGGGAGAGCTGTCGCTTATCAGTGAACGTCCAGATCGGTCAAAGTAATTCAAATTTACTGTATATAACTAATATAAACCTATTTCAATAAACGTTGTCATCGCCAAAGGCAGAGGAGGCATAGGGAGTTAGRGCTGTAGGGAGTTGTGTGACATCAGGATTATATGCTTTTTATTTCCCTTTTTGACATCAGTTTTTGTGCCCTAACGCTCAGATTCGCAACAGAGGGAAAGTAGCTAAGTGAAAAAAAAAAAAAAAAAAAAAAAAAAAAAAAAAAAAAAAAAAAAAAATGTGCACGTGTCCAAAGAAAATTTGTGACCAATGAGTCAATACAAGAAAATCAATAATATTACTCCTTATCTGATCAACAGATGGACTGTAGACCCGCTACTTGTGAATGCAAATTACTTACCATTGTACAACACTATGAGTAAGTAGTATACAGCTATTTCACAAAAAAAA